GCTCCTCCCCGCTGATCTGACCGGCGGCCTATCTCGATTATTGTTTAATACGCTGTCATTAATCAATTTGTTTGCCATTGTTTGGGGCCGTTTGTGTGTATATCTTTTGGCCGTTGTTGTTTGGCCAAATTAATTATGGCCCCAAACTCGGTTCTGGACTGATAAGCAACAGCAACAAGAACACCGAGCAGCGAACAAAACCAGTGCAGAATAGTGACAAATTTTTTTGGCCAGCATAATAAATGACTTTGTTTTTTGGCCTGTCCATTCGAAATAATTGATTATGCCATGCACAAAACTAGGTGAAAGAGGTGAAAGATGTGGAGCCATTTATTAGGAGAGGGGGCTTCAATGGAGGAGGTGGGATACAATCTTCAAGGTCATAATTGGAATACTTGTGTGGGGTAAAATTCAAAAATATTTACTTTATAGTCCCTTAAAATGCATATTAAAATATAAAATCGTTTGCCCTTTGTATTATTAGTTTCTTAGACCTAAAATAAAACTAATAAGTCTCATTTTTCAATCAAATGTCTCAGCCCAGGGCAATCCTCCTTCAGTGCAAACAAAGAAAAACGTTCAAGTATTAATATTGAATTCAACATTTATGACCTATGCACTTCATAGGTACAAAGAGCCGGTCAATGCATTTGCTTTGCATATTTTAAATGCAAATATTTACAGCAATTAAAACGATTTATTTGCGGAATGAATAGACGAATCCTGACAGACACAAATAATCGCACATGTGAACGGAACCTAACTCAATTAAATTCGCTTGCATTGAAGTGCATCAATTACCCGGAGAGTCCTTGAAAGAGCTTTGAGCTTTGCCAGATCCCATTCGATTTTTTGCCCAGCTCGTTTGATTTCATTTACCTCAAATGCACTTGATAAATGCAAATCAGTAGCGAGCAGAACTGAAACACCATAGAAATACTTGTGCATACCAAACCGATGGATACACACACTCTCGAGTATCTTTGAGGTTGCCGTGTGTTCGGGCCGAGATTTCTTTTGGCCATTTACAAATTGCTTAATGTCTGGCTGTAATAAATTATTTATGTTATTGCGGCGATGTCAATAAAGACATAAGTGCGCACAATCAAAAGCGAAACCCAAAGCGGATTGACATCGAGCGGGGGATCAAATTGCTCGGGGGAATCGGGCCGAGCAATTACTATATGCTATATGCTATGTGGTATCACAGCTGCAACAACAACAATGGGACCATAAAAGCGCAGCCCAAGTGCAGACCATAAAAAATTGGGAAAAACACAAAAGACCGAAAAAAAAATGTATCCCATTTGACACCGAAATCAAATTAACATACAAAACTTACATTCCACATTACAACCCAACAAACAGACGAAGCTTTTTGTAACCGAACAACAAACAATGGGGCAGGGGAAAAAATCTGAAAATCACAGTTGGATGTCGGAGACCTGTCATATAACACTTGTTGTTCGCCTCACTTGTTGGGCATTTTCTTGCCTGCATAGCCGAACACAAACCACAGAGATTGTTTGTTATTTGCTATTCCACATTTTCATTTTTGTTTAATTTTTTGTGTGCATTTTTTTGGCATTTACCAAATTCTTGTAGCTGTCGCGTGTAGCGACAAATTGGCATTGATGTGGGCAGTGGAGTGGGTGGGCGGGTCGGTGCTTCCAACAGGTGTCCGGATTACCTTGCATTAACCAACACTGTAGGCGCCTCGAGGCCTTTTCGGGACCTTTGCTGAACTTTATTGGTATATAATCAAAGGTTTATGCTCCCTAACAGCTTTTGTGAAGTTTTCGTGCAGAGACTTTACACCTTTAATTAACAGTTATTAAATATAATATTTTTTCTTTGCCAACATAAGTGCATTTTGATTACCTATTAAAGGAATATTTATTTATTTATTGTCAAGTTAAAAATGAATTTATATTTTTTTTATTTAAACCTAAATATTTAAAAAGGTTTGTAGTTAACTGGAAGTTGGTAAGATAAATATTTATTTTTATATTTTTCTCTCATTTTTTGTTAATGCTTTGTCTTTCCTATATTTTAATTAAAAAAATATTATTTTCAAATTAGGTATTTTTATTTAAATATAAAGGGGTTGAGTTTAGAAGCATGAGCATCGTGAAGTGGTGTGAATGCGTCATTTTCTAAGCTATTTGCTTGTGTGATCGGTGGAGTGCATCCCCCAAAAATGTGGCATTGAGTTGCAGTACAAAGCCACCGTATCGCAAGCCCCTTCAAGGACCTTCTCCAGTGCCACTCAAACTGTAATTAAAGCCAACGCTGCTCATCGACTCTTGAAGCCTTTGCAATCCGCTTGCTCAACAATGGGAGTTTAATGCTCGCCTGGGGCATTTTCAACGCATAATCATTTTTTGTGCCCGAACAGGGATAATAAATATGTCGCAGGCACTTGAGGCAGCCTCTCGCATTTGTGTCGCTGCACACGGAGGAAAACCAACCCCGTGCCACCCCGTTCCAGTCCCTTTTCGGTGCAGGTTCTTGAAACGTGTACGAGGCCTGCACTCTCAATTATGTCTTAATTCGTATCTAATGGATATTTTCTGTGTGAATTTTCATGATTAATCGCCGCCCGAGGGTGCAAGAGGGACAGTAGTCACACTGCAACAGAATTAGAAATCCTTCTACATTTGCCGAAAAACAAGTCCGTTAAATAAAAATAAAATTACTTTAAACTAAGTATGAATTGTGAGAAAAAATGTAAGAGATATTTTAAAATTATTTTTCTTCGATTTTGGCTACTGTTTAAATTGTTTTTTTTTTTTTTTTAAAGAAGATTTATGTTTATACTTCCAACAATTTATTATGTTTAGTTATAATGTTAGCTTTAAAGTATTCTTCCAAATTATTTTTTTAGTTAAGGAAAAAAAAAAAAACTAGCTACATAATATATTGCTAGACTAAATTACAGGACCCAACAGATTATTTTTCTGAGTGTATCCAAGGGGGTGGTTCGCCGACTGCAGTTGTTCACACATGTTCACAAAAAGAGTGCAAATATTGGGGGTGGTGGGGCGGACAATGGAAATGCGAGCAATAACTTAACTCCACCGAAGGTTTCCAACTTTCTTTCCCCCTCGATTTTCTTTTTTGAAAATTTGCAAGGCGTTGGTTTGGGTTGGGTGAAATTTGCAATTGCTGGGGTGTGGCAGTTCGGCATTAACGGCATATGCACCGTGTGTGTGTGTGTTCTTACGTTTGTGTGCGTAGACGGCGACGTGTTGCAACTTCCGGTGACGTCGACGTAGTCGCAAAAAGTGATTACGCGGCATTTGTGGCAGCAGCAAACCGGCGACGGTTTTTGCAAACATTTCCAAGAATGCAACCGCATTTTCCCCCTCACCCACCCCGAAACACCACCCACTTTTTCGTTGGTAAACAAAAAGCATCTGAAATGCAATTCTCACTTCTACGGCACACGGGCGCCATCTAGCCGCATTTAGGCGAACTACAACGGAGATTGAGATAATGAGAGCGTTTTCCCGAGAGAGAAAATTGGTGGAAAAACCATCTAGCTTGCATTTTTATCTACGAGAGAGCAGAGAGAGAGATAGAGACCGGCTCTCTCCACGATTTTCCTCTCTGTTTATCTTTCACTGCTGCATTTGCATTATTTTTCGGCTTTGTTGTTGCTACTGCTGCGACCGCTCCCAAAAAATCAGATTTCCATGTCGTTGTTGTTGGTTGGTTTTTTATTTATTTATTTTACTTAGCATCGAATCTGATAAGAATGTTATGTGTGCTGGGCGAGCAATGAACTTATTGGAGAGACTGTGGGCAGTTCTAATTGGGACGGGTCAATGCCGGCTAATTAGCTGTGGGCGGCGGAAGTACGACATCTTATTGGATTGAACGTGGGGAGATAGGACTAATGGAAATTCTAAGATTTCCTTTTGTTTAAGAATTGATAAGAGATTTAAAATGTTTCTCAGTATTTTGTAGGTATTGTTTTTTTTTGAAGATTTTTAGATGAACAAATTATTTTATTTATTTAAAATTTCTTTACTGCTATATTGTTTTTAATAGCTGTCATTATCTAAAATGTTAGATTATTGTGCCCAATTTATTAATGCGGATACTAAACATTTTTATTTTGGGCATACCGCAACATACCTAGTCGTAGTAAAAATTACTCATACGACACATAAGCCAGTTTAAATTTGGTTAAAAAATAGATTTATTCCGTTCCTAACTTGGTATATTATTGGACCCGCTAGATTAAGATTCAAGCTAGGGAGCAAAGATATGTGAGCAAAGGCAACAGTGCGTATGAGCAATATTCTTAAAAGTCATTTCTAAATCTTAAAAAAATTATCTAAAATTATTTTAAATTTTTCTAGCCGACTTCTTTAATAAAAGTTTAAAAAATGCAGCCTAGTTGATAATTCTTTTCAGTTCTCTTAAAGAGTATATCCTTACATTATCCTAGAAGGTATGTCCCTATTTGAGCTTCCCAACCCATTAGCACACCTGTGCGCCCTATGCGGCAGCCACACACTATTGTCAAATTGCTTTGGCACACAAAGTGAAAAAAACCGCATTCAACGCCCACGGGTCTCATTTGTGGGCGAGCATTTCAGTTAGCCGGGACTCGAACCAACGAGTCGCAACTTATCTGACTCAATGAGAATCCAATTTGAGTCCATGTTAGCTCAGATAACTTGGAAAACTCTCCCGTTATCTGGGATCTCTCTGGGGTTTGGTGTTCTCTGGCGAGAGAATTGCACATGGTTTTTGCCAAAAAAGCCGAAGAGTCTGCTCGTGTCTCGGCTCACGGCGGCAGTCTCGTGGATTTGCTCTCCGCTCTCGTTTTCAGAGTACTGTTAGCCCTCGTCGGCCATTAACAGCGGCGGAGAGCGGACGATTTTGAAGTTCGTGGCGCACACAGATACAATACAGGCAGCACAGAGTATCTGTGAGGAGAAATATCGCTCTCCGACATTCGTTTTTCTGAAATTCACTTGGCAATACAGGCGCAAAGCCCAGTTCGCTTAAAAACGTGAACGTGTCCATACACGAGCGCACCGTTATTTCCTATAGCAGATTCGCAGGCAGCAGATTCGCGCGTGGAAATTCTCACCCTCTCTCCCTCCGGCGACGTGTTGTTGTTCTTGTGCGGGCAACTCGCCTTTTTTGGGGGCGGGGCACGCGGGTCATCGCAAATCGCAAATAGCAAAATCGTTAATCGTCATCGGCGAAACGTGTGTGCAGAATTAATGAAATACTCGCGCCGCTTCATCAATGAAAATAAAATAGAGAAGACTGCACGCCAAATAGTATCTCAAAGATTGCTTCGTAGCTGTGCATTCGGTTCACGTTGTGTTTAGGCCAACATTTTTGTTTGACAACCAGTGCGTGGTAACAACGAAGAAGCCCCGAATTGCCAATTTAATCGCGGTAAGTCTTCCAATTTGGTGCCTAATTCTTTGATGTTGATTTGTTACTAAGATTAGCATTAATATTGATTATTCTAAGCAAGCTAATTAGTTTATCTTATTAGTTTGTTGATTTTTGGTGCTTTTTTGTTTTTGGTATTTTAAGACTTAACTTATTCTAAGCGATCCCAACATTTAAGCATAAAATATTTTTGGCATTACCCAGAATAATGATCAAAATGTGTATTTGATAAACAGAAAAATATTCTTTTATTTTTCAATTTAACTGAATTGAAAATTATTTGTAATCCATACATTTTGTTTATTATGCAAAATATTTTAAAAAAATATAGTTTTTAGTACGACCATTGGAAAGAGTTTTCCTATGAAATTTAGATAATTTTCCCAAAAAAAGATTTTATTTCCTTAGATAATGCAGTTTTATATACTCCAGAGAGAGTAAGTTTAAAGACCTGAAATTGCCTTGACAGCAGCATGACATTCTTTTTTCCTCGTCTGTTGTCTCATGTTCGATCGATAAGTTTTATGAGTTTTCGTTGTGAAATTTTGAAATCATTAATTATGTCTCGGGCCGCAGACTCGGTCGGAGTTTCCGTCCCAGTCCCAAGTCGTCTCTTTTTGGGGTTTCTGTCTGGGGAACAGGTTTCGTTAGAGCGAAAAACTTCAAGAACTTTTGAGGTTTGTGCGATTCCGAGAACTTGTTAGGTGCTGCCTGGACTCGTGTTTGTTCGCCCCTCTTTATGGAGATGTGAATCTTTATGAATGAACGAGGTGAGGCTCCGTTCGGAGGCTTAGGCGGTCCAAATGTCTGGTGTTGTGGGCCTTTCTCGTTGACACTTTTGAGGAATGTCAACTAGGCTCGTCTAGATGGCCAACTGGGAATGGGTTAGACGTGAGCTGGCATACGCCTAAAGATGCCGGGATGTTCCAAAGTTCGAAGAATCTTAAATGGGTATAAAATTTGAGGGAAGAATCGGGAGGGAATTTCCATTGAAAGAACAGAAGGAGTTTTTTATAGGCTTTCATTGCTTCTAACATGTTATAAAAAAAATTCTTGTCGAAAACTATATTGTTTAAGATACTTAAGAATCATATTATAATATAAAATTTTTTTTTTTTTGTGAAAACGGAATATTTATATTTTGATTCTGAAACTGATGGAGATTATTATATTCCACGAAAGTTATTATCACAGTGATGCTTATCTTTCTGTTGCTCCCCTCCACCACTGACCTTTATTATCTCCTCTGAGAATTACCTCGAAACGAAATCTTTAAGAAAAGCCCCCTCATTAAAGCTCGCAGCTTCTGTTGTTATCAGGCCCACGAATCGCCACCGAAAACGCCAAGGCCAAAGCGGGGAACTTCCAACCTGCATTAGCTAAGCAGACATCTGAGCAGCACTGAGCCAGAAAACTTTTTAATTACCAACAGGAAAAAACATTTAAGATAACAGGCAGGTAAGATGGGGGCAGGTGCGGTGGGCCGGCCGCTTTTTTACATAAATTGAAAATATAGCAACTTTTTAGGCACGAGACTTATCTGCTTCAGATGTGTCTGCGAAGAGTCCGAGCCGAAATCGAACCTTTTTCTTCTCTCTCACTGACCCAAAAGTATTTATGGCTTTCGTAAATAAGAAAACCAAGGGAAAGAAGCAGCAGCAGCTTTTAGCCATCTCAGAGCTACAAATTTTACGGCTTAAATATTTTTTAGCCATTAGATAAACAAACAGAAGGGGCAGGGAGATAGGAGAAGGAAAGAAACGTAACGAAAATATCTTTCAAGTACAATGTTAGGTAAATATAAACAAAACTTTACGTCTTCAGGTCCCCACACTTCTTTTTACAACCTTCCGGCGATGCTGCACTTCGCTGTTGTTTTGGTTCTTCTTTTTCAGCTACTTAAAGCTTTTAGAGCGGCAGCAAGATGTAATATAAATTACATTAGCTAAGTGCCAGGCGGCAATTAAAAACAAAAAATACTCGTGAAGTTTTCCTCCTCCTGCTCTGCTGCTCCGCCGTTCTGTTGTTGATAATGTTGTTAATGATGTTGCGGCAGCATCTTCAGCAGCCCCAGTCCCATTCCCATCCGCATCATCATCATCATCAGTGGCATCATCATTAGGAACATCATTGCCGCCATTAGCAGCATCATTAGAACGTCAACTTAATCAAGGTTAAAAAGCATGTGGCGTGCCTGCCCCAAAAATCGGGGAAAACTCGAGAGATGCGGGAGATGCTATCTCCCTCTCGGTGGGGTATATATATATCTTCGATTTCGACCCGCTCGATGCTGTAATTATTGACGCCGACGATGTCTTCCACGATAGACATAAACAAAAACATATTGCGATGGCTGAAATTCGGTAAGAATTTTCCGTTTAATGCGATTAGGAAAAGTTATGCAAGGATTGGGCAAATTATGTTGGCTAATATTGGATAATATTTTCGGAAGCTTTGTGCGATGAGGTAATTGTAATGGAGTACATAAAAAGCAAGCTAATTGGACAGAGAATAATGAAGAGTGAAAATATTGATTGATGAACGAAGTATTTGTGTGTTGAAAAATTCATGATTCTGATAAACGATGTTTAATTTGTATTAAATGGTGGTCAATGTAATTAGTATATTTTGTATCACCAGTATAATCTACCACAAATAAATCCAAAAAACTTTAAAATCTCAATAATCTTTGTTTAATTAATGTTATCATATCTGTAAGCAACCATCAGAATTTGTATAACCCCTGTTTGTTTTCAACCACCAAACACAAACATTTTATCTCCCAACCCTATCATCTGGCAAAAAAACATTTTGCTGCCTTGACATTTATTATGCCAAGCAAATACTTGAAACTCTAATAACCCCAGCAGGAAAATCACCCCAAATTACAGGCCCGAAAATAAGTTCCTACGAATGACCACCATTAGGCTTAAAATCAAAACATTTTACAACAGCAATTATGTGATTTTTTTCGAGCGATCAGAGCCAAAGTCAAAGCAATTTCTATTTTAATAACCAGACCCAAGGCAGGTCCATTAAAAATAAATATCTCTATATTTTGCAATTAAATCAACAACAAACTGCAAATGAACCGAATCGAATTCGAGAGAACCTGCTCCATTATATGGGCATTATCTGCCTGCCCATAACTATCGGCTCAATCATAAATTTAATTAGCATAATTGACTCTGTGAACGGATGTTCTTTTTCGATTTGTGGCTTCAAAATTTCGCTCACGTACTTGCAATTAAAAATGGGCTGGCAGCCTTTGGTGGCCATATGCCCGGGTTCTCTTCCCATTCCCCGAAATAAATTCAAGATCAGGTGTGGGAAATGCGAGGAGAAAGGTGTGAGAATCCACTGGCAACAGCTGGTGGAACGTGCCATTGACACTTTCGTGAGAGAGCGAGAGAGTTCATAAATAATCCCATTACTTGTCTTTCGATTTGCCTAAAATCAAAATAAACTTGCCTCATTTTTACGTAGTTCTGAAATGTTCTCTATTCGTTCATGTTTATATTTGGCCTACCCTCGGTTGATGAACCACATAAACAGAATTCCATTTTCCATTTTCACTTCCTCTGGCCCAGTGATATTCTATGCGTCATTTGGCAAATGAGTTGAGTCGCCGGCTATCTGGTGTTTACCTTTGGGCGATAAGGCGCCAACTCGATAAGATAAGGGGCCACTCTGGATCTATGCCTCGATAGGGTGTGACTTGGCTTCGATTTCTGATTTTCCACACAAAGTAATTCGCTGCATTCATGCTGTTGTGCAAGCCGCTGCTGCCATGGAAATGGAACGGCTCTGGGGGAGTTGTGGAACTAATGGACTGTTTACTTATTTATGGGCCCTGAATGTTGGTCAATATTTGTGGTTTCCCTTGGTGTCGAGGGGCCAAAAGGGAACAAAGGCAGCTCACTGAGAGGAGCTGAATGAAAAGACGCCAAAGCTTACTTACCGTTCTTGATGGTCGCTTCTGGGGGTTGGGGTACATAATGTGGAAATAATTTATAGATAGGATAAGCCTACAGAGAAAAAATTAGTTGATTGACAGTTCTTCCTATGAAGTGAGCTGATGATTCAAGCATTACTATATATTTTCTATTGTGAAAGCAGCAATTTCATAATAATATTATAAATATTGTTAGTAAAAGAATATTCAAACGTTAAATTATTTCGAAAAGTATATTCCTATTTTTATAGTCCAAAAGTTTAAACATTTTAGTAGGACAAATAAACATATTTTCCACAGTACAGTTTAGTACCCCGAAATAAGCTTCCATAACTGATTAATGAACTCATTGCTCAAAAGATAATCGTTCAGCTAATTTCGCATTAACTAAACTCACATGTTTTTTTTTAAATTTTCATGGCCAGAGAGCCAAGTTCCGCCAGAAACATCTGCGCCAAGTGTCAAAATGTAAACAGAAAAATACACATATGACGACTCGCACAAGAGCAACAGCAAAAATCCATTAATATAATGCGGAACCATTTAATAGCCCCAAAAAACTAGCATGACGACAAACCGAACATGATCCATAAAATTAAGATCGGGCGGGCCAGAAGCGAGCAATTTACGACAAATATGCAAAATTTTAAAGTTAGAAGGCAAGAGATACGACGAACCAATAGATGGATGGATGGATAGATTGTGTTGTGGCCGCAGTGGAGACGCCCACAAAAAAGTCTGGGCATAAATAAGAGCAAACGTCACATGAAATGTGAGGCAGAGCTGGGAAATAAATATGAAAATGGGCTGACAACAACAAATTTATATATATTTACATTTGTTTTGTGTGGTGCTCTTTTAAATTTATGGGTTTATTGATACTCTCGGGGGCGGCGGGAGTCCGAAATTTGCTTTATCAGCATGTCAGATGGCGAGCAAGAAAGCCCCAACCGCAATCTGTAAAAATGTTCTCAACGAAATGATTTAGCTTTTTATCTGAATCTCTGTTTGCCCTGTGTCGTCTCTCTCCTATTTTCATTGTGCTTTGGCTCGGTGTTTTGAACAATTCTGCCTAGTCGAGCAAAAATATGTCAAAACAAATTGGTTGAAATGGGGCTGCAAGGTGAGGAATGGGTGCTAGAAAATATATGTGATAATGAAAACTCATGTATTTTCGCTTCTGTGTTTCTAGAAATGTGCAATGCAGAAGTATGCCAGAATTATACTATCGTTTATCTAATAGCGTTTTTAATACAAGTGGCAATTTGATCTGAATTTCATTCCTGCCTTTTGACACGCCCAACTTTTAGTTCAACGAACTCTGGCCTGCTTTCTTGGAAAATCACCGAAACCTTCACCTGCTCAAGCACTAGCACTTCGGAGTAATTCCTCGGTTCGCACCATTTAGTGGCCATTTGATTTTGCATATCAATTAACGAGATTGAGCTGCCTCGGGGGCAGTATTTTCGGTCTGTTCGGTTAATCAGAGTCGATGGCAGCGATACAACGATTAATTAAAGTCTCAAGTCTCTGAATGGCTCGTTTAGGGTTTCGACCTTGCTGAAGCCTAGACAAAAAGATCATTAGTTAGAGCATCAAATAAAACTGTTTGATTACCCATAATTATAGCTTACCGAAAGTGGGGGCAACAACAAAAAAAAAACGGTGGTGGTAAACATTTTGTCGCCTTCGGATTTGATGCCTTCATTAGGGGGCAGAATAGAATACATCGCCTGATTATGTTGATGCCAGGCGGTGTGCCACACGGCGTATGCATAATCGTATAATTAATTGCCATAAATGTTAATTGCGCATACGCCACGTTGCGAGAATTTATCCTTTTAATAAAAGGGTTCCCACGCTCACATTTCCCCCGTCTGTGTGTCCTTTGTCCCGAAAGTTTTTGCCAGTTAATTAAGCAAGTATTTTCCGGTTCTTTTCGTGTTTACCCAGTTAATTTCTGTTAAGTTTTGTTGACATGTTCGTTGTTTACCCATAAGCTAGTTTGCTAGCTGCGACAAATTAAGTTGCTTCGTGTTAAAGTTTCTTTGGTTAAAGTTGGCTCTGAAAAGTTGAACAACTTATTGGATTAGTCAGGTGTTTGAAGGGGAATTAATGGGATTATTAGAAAGTTAAGAGAAAACTAACTAACCAAAAAAAGTGGGGCCTATAGTTGTGTAGAATTTAAAGAACAGAGTAAATAATTTTTTGTAATATTTTTAAAGAATGAAACTTAAGCACATTAATATTAAGCACCCTATTTGTACATAATTTGCATATAGTCAGTGATCCAAGTTTTCAACTTTACACTTCCTCAATATAACTTTGAATTTCATAATTTTATGAATTAAACTTTCGTACCAGGAAGCAATTTCTGAAAATACCCGCACATCAATTTGAAGTCTTGTCTGTGAGCTTTGACTATTGCATTGATTGCTTGTTGCTGTTGGCTTAACCCAAATAATTTTCGAGTCAAGCAAACAGAAAATCAACAAACAAACAAACAAACATTCAGACCCAAGCCAAACAAACAAAATGAACAACAAATCAGCAAAAACTCGAATGTAAGTAAAATCAATAATAGGTTTGTGTGCGAGAGGGGTGACGCCTCCTTTTCTATATATTTCCCCCCAGCCCTAACTATCTTTATCTATCGGGGGTCTCTGGATTGTGGAACCCTTTAAACCGAGAGAGAGTGAAATTTTTTCCAATCCGAAGCCCGAACTGTTTGCTTTTAATCAAGTTTCACAACATTTATCTAATGTGTGCTCAAGTCCGGCTAATTAATGGGTTAGGGCGGTCTGTATAGTTCATTTGAATATTTAACGATTGTCGGGCAGTGGTCTCCCAGGGGGCGTGGTCGCTCGGGGGGCGCCACCTGTCCGGCAAAATTATTAATCAATTATGCAAAGTTCTCTGGGGTAAACTCCGAATCCGGCGCGGAACTTCAGCTGCTGAGATATTCGAGATTCCTCCGACTCACCTTGACTGACAGAGGAGAAACACAACAGCACTATGAAGTCATTAGTTGGGCCAAGATTCAGACTGCGAGCATTTGAATGGCATTTTGCAAAACAAGTTTCGCTTTGTGTGCTGGAACGAGCAATCAACACGTAAATGTGAAGCGTAACAAAATGCTTAAAAAAAGTAAATAAATAAATATAAATATGTGAGAAGAAAAAACGAAAAGTTAAATGCAAATGCGACTGGCGCTTTTTTTCGCTAGAAGGTTGTGAGAGAATTTGAATGATGTAATTCGTGGATGGGTGAGCTCAACTTGTGAGGTGACTTAAGTTAGTTAGACTGGTTTTTCTAACAGTTATATTGCCACTTTACTTGACACCTCATTTCAAAATAATGAAATAAATTTCCACAATTAATTTTAATTTCTTTTTTATAATGGACTTAACTCAATTTTAATACCAAGTAAATAATTTAGTAAATAGATCAGACAGACCAATTTTATTTTCCATTGCTAAGACATTTCTCTCCCTGTACTTAAACTCCGCAATAAAGCCAATTAAAGCTGAAGCCAATGGCGAACTTTAAGTGTCTCTGAAGTCAAGCATAAATGTGCTAAAAGGTTAGAGTTCGGGCAGGAAATCGGTAGGAGCTAGAAGGAGTGAGATACGCACACACACTGCGCCATATGAAATAAAATGCTAAAATTATTCATTTTGCAAATAAGCAGAGTAAATATTTAATTAACAACTCAGCAGGCAAACAAAAGGGCGACACACGACGAGGGGGAATGTCTGTCGGTTTTGCGACGCGGGTCTAAGGTTTCCTCCGCGCCGAGGGTAATATAATATTTATTTATATGCCGCACAGCCAAAGTCACCTACAAAACGAGACGACAACGACGATGACGACGCCCTAGAAATTGCCGCAAATTTTATGTTTCTGTTTCATTCCGGAATACGGACTCCCTGTCTCTGTCTACGGGTGTGAGTCAATGACATGTACGAAAAAAACTAACTTCCTCATGGGTTCTCAGGGGCTAAGGTGTGCGACATAAACCATAGTCTATTAGGTATTGTTTGTATTTAAGGGAATACAAATATTATAAATGGGAAATTCATATTTAATCTTATAAATAATTACTATATTCAGACGATTATTTCCAAAATTCTTAAAAAAATTTCAATTTAATCTAAAAAAATATTTTACACAACAAAAAGTCTTTTCCAACATTTATATTTCAAAATATATTTCGCGTACCTTTTGGTTTGCTTGTGCGTGCCTGGCTGTGCAGGGCATTATTAAACATTGTATCGCTTGAAGTCAGATTTCATTTGGCGCGTCTAACTAACTGAAGGAACCCAGACACAGGGACTAAATAGCTTACTACCGCCCCAACCTGAACTAATTAAATTAGTTTAGTCTGCAGAAAAAGGTTTTTCTAGTGGCGGCAGTTGTTGGTCGGCCTTTAATTGCTTTTGCGATGAATCTTTAAAGCTGAACTCGGTCGATAGGGGAAACTAAGAAAATGAAGCAATTAATGGAAAATTTGTTTATGGTTTCAGAGGGCTCTGTTCTGGTCCTCACATAAGTAACACATAAGGAAAAACCCGACAGGAAAAGTGTTGGGCTTTCGTCATTGTTTCAATGTTTTATGAGGCCTCGTAAAAGGACGGAAAATACTCTTATTGCTTTCGGGGTTTGTGCTTTTTTCTCCTTTTGCTTCCTTGAGGATTGGGCTAGCTATTAAAATGTCATCATGCAGCGGGCCGGATGGAAAAGTGGGAGTTCTCTATAGACCAAGTGAACCGTGAGCACGATAAGTCAGCGCACGCTATTCCTGGGCCTCCCAGGCGCCCGTTTTTATCGACTGGGAAGGAGCGATTCCTGGGCGTATTTATTATTTAACACCTAGAAACCTAAGCGGGAAATGGCTATAAAATCGTTGACCTTTTTTTTCTCCGCTCATCATACTTTTCTCTTTTTTGGCACACGCATCGGGTAACTCATGCAAAAGTTTCCCAGCCCATCTTGGGTGGTCCAAAAGTCGTCGGTTTTACGACCTCGACGGTACTCCAGTTCCTTTTACGAGTCAACAAAACACACACAACATAGGTTGAAATATTTAAAAGTGCGCTTAATTATGCCCGCAAAAACGAAGAAGAAATAAACTCAGCATTAATGCCAAAAAACTGCCAGAAATTCTCAAACGGCACACGGCCATTGGGTAATAAAGTTTATTTGCCTTTGCTTCTGGGGTAATCAACGAAGTCTTCAACGGATTTGGCATGGAAAAGTAATCTAGGTGGGTGGTATTCTCAGAAAGAAATTGGGAACATGGCATTTAAACCAATCCGAATGGGTTGGGATGGTCCTAAGTTTTCTCTAAGATTTATATCTTGCCATATTAATTAAGAATACAAATTATTATTTGACCCTAGATCGTTTAAAAAAATATTTCTAAATTTTAATTCTCATTTAATTTCCCATTTTTACAGGTTACAAAATTCTTGCCACATTATCCAAAAAACCTGCCGCATAAATAAAGGGTAAGTTCCGACAGAAACTCAATTGCATACCGATTCCCAGCCATCTAATGGCATCTCAGCCGTCCAAGGCTGTTGTCGAACACGTTTGCCGGGGGATAAACTACATATTCCCGGCCATTCGAGCCATTCAAGCCATTCGAGCCACCGATCATAGCAAACACATTTGGAAAAGTGGGGACATGACAGGCCGAATGCCTGACTGAGATCGCTGCAAAATACATATCCATGTACACAAATGCGAATTCTGCAAGTGCAGTTAGACTCTGGGTTGCCGGCGACTCAGGTGATATATCTCACGACTCACGAAACTAGTTTACGCAACATGTGGCAATTTTGCATGCCACAAGAGGCCACAGAGGACGTGCCACACAGCGCCGGGGAAAAAGAGAGCGAAACGAAAATTGACATTTTGACATGCGGCTTGTACCGGGCGGTACTTCAAGATTCGCCTCCGATAAACTACAAATGGTTGCACAGTACTCGTATAGAGAGTCCAACCGGTTCACCGGCGCTCAAAAGCAATCCGTAAAGTGTCTTTTAAATACAAATGTTATCTACCGAGAAGCGAGAACCGAGAGGTCCAGAAATAAAACCGAGAAATAAAACCGTACGTGCCGCATTTGTTGTTGTCGCCGGTGCGATTTTTAATGGATTGACGGCAGACAACGAATGCACATTAGAAATCCAATCCTGGTCCAGGTTTAGTCCACTCGAGTCCAGTCCTGCGATCGCGGGTCTCCCAAGTCATGCACACACATGGGTCCATCCATGTTCCTGTCTGCATTTTCCTTTTTCCCCAACCCGATTGCCATTTTCCACCTCCTTGCGTGCCAGGGAAATTGTCTTCGCTACTGCAGTTTTCCTTTTTGGCTTTTGCATTTCAATAACTGGATGGGTCAGTGGCTGTGGAGTTTTGTTTGGCACGTACGGCATAAAGTATCTGTCTGGGCTATCGCTTACAGCTTACAGCTAACCGCCTCCCGGCCACGCCCCCCTGCCAAGCCAAAAGGGGCGTGCGTGCTCTTTTTTGAGGCAGTGTCTGCATATATTTGTTTAAATTGCATCGAGTGTTTGAGTGTTTTCCACTCCAGATACTCGATAAAACAAACTTCGTATTGGGTTCAGGTTCGGTCAGCTAATTGGCGGGCCAGCAAAAGGTGGTTGAAATAATTGGCCAGGGTGGAGGAATAAAAGTAAGGTAAATATCAAATGGTTGGATTTCCAACAACCGCTAAAATAATTCCTAAAAACGAAAAATTTTGTTAAAAAAAAAATTATTTTACAATTCTTTAAAAATATTATCATATTGTGTTCATGTATAAAATTCAAGGTCTCCTCGTAGAATATTAAATTTCTTGTGAATATATATATTTCCCACACTTACCATTTTTGATAGCCCTTTAGACTGATTTTGTTTCACAATTTTCATTTAATTTGAACCTTTTCTCAGCCATAGAATATCTGCCGAAATCAAAGTAGGGAAGGTCGAATGTGATACCAATTTCCGTCGTTTTATGGGCGCTAATAGAAACGACCTTCATCAAATCGAATCAAACGAGACAAAACGCTATTGACAAAATGCAAGTCAATATGTCAGGCGACCAATCAACACCCGAAACGAGAATCAAAATCAAAGCGAGACCGGAAAATGTTACAACGCCAGAAATGTCATAAATTCTTTTGATGGCATTAATAAATAAATAAATAAATAAAAGGGCTGCTGTTTGCCGTTCGAATTCAAATTAGCGACAAATCAAAAATGTGTCATCAGCAATGAAGATGGACTGACCAGGAAGGGTCAGTCGTTCAAAAAGGGAGGGGGTGCAGATAGGGCTAGAGAACCATAAAAGTTGAACAAAAGCTTTGCAAAACCGACTACCAACCGACCGAGAGTCGGATAACAATCACAGACCATAAACTGTGTTGAAAAAATATTTGCATACAGCCATAAAAAGAGTGGTAATGCTGCTGCAGGCCAGGAGGAGTCATTAAAACAAGCCAGCGACTATCAAAAACTAACTGGCCGGGCGACACTTTTTGCTCTAGACCCGATAATCAAATGGGTAGCCGCGGGCATAATGATTGTATACATGGCATTTAAACTGAATTGACCATATTAAATGAGTCGTATTTATTAATACAATTTGTTTACTATAATTTACTTGAATTCCTATTAATATTTAGGATCAGATTAAACTCAGTAAAGCCTGAAATGGGTCAGTTTAGTCCTAAAATTCCGGTAATATTTCATTTTTGTCATTAAGACCAATTTTTAATATAATTTCTTTAAAATTTAAAATATTTTTCTAAAAACAGGGTATTTTTAAGCCTAAGCTTAATCATTTACCCGTTTCCTACTCGTCTTTTTCCACGTTTTTTTTTATTTTCATTTCTGCTTTGTCGTTTGGCTTGTAATTAAAACTTGTTGGCAGACTGTCAGGCAGCGAGTTAACAAGTCGGCGGCTTCACAGAGGAGGAGGCGGCGGGGATGAGCGAGCTGTGAGTTGGCGAAAATATTATTTAATTGTCAGGCCAGGCGCTAATTAAAGTCCAAGCCGGGCCGCCAAGTCTTTCGCCCGTTTCGGCCATAAAGCCAAACACTTAACGATGCTCCACGAGCATCTTCAGCCCGATATTTATGTTTATTGACTGCTGCTGCTGCTGCTGCCTGGCGACTGACATCATCATCATCAGCTGGGTAGCTGAAGAGCCAGAGAGCTGGGATCTTCATCTGTAGGAAAGAGCCAAGTTAGTCATAACACTTTGGCGCAATGTGGCCGAAGGTCTCCTTCTTCCTAGTGGAGATGTCAGCCCGAGTTATGGTAATTGTTGCAAATTATTTATTTATTTATGCACGTGGCAGCCACAGCGGCGTTTGTCGCCTGATTATGTGCTTATTTATAAGATCCAGGTACATATAGGGATAAATGCGGGATCCAGCGACTGCCACTAATGAGATGCAAGCAAACGGCATCCGCGCGCTGCATATGAATATCAATTATGGGAGGAGTGGTATCATGGCCGTAATCGCAACTCAAGGGGGCAGCCACTCCTCCATTCGCCATTCGGTTTGGGCCAAATTGAAGTGGCTGAACAGACGTCTAGACCAGAGACGCGATGCTTTTCGGCGGTGGTCGTAACAAAGCTTTTAAGCCAAAATGTTTGGCCATTTGCATAGTAACAAAGGCCCGAAAATGTCGGGGAAATGTAAGTGCAAATAGTGCGGACAGCGAGCAGATAACCGATTCAAATGAGTTTACAGCAAATATCTAGGGAGAATTTAGGGTTCTCATAGATGAAAAGAATTTTCTTTATATTTCTTGAAATATATAAAAATATTTAAAATATGTTTATAAAAATTTTTAAAAAAAAAAGAAACAAAATGTTCTGACAATATTTTGTAATAATATTTAATATATTTATTATTAAAAATATTTTGGTGTTTTAAAATAAATGTACAAATACTTTATATATAACCTAACATTTTACATTACAATCTTTTAAAATAATATGCGAAATAAAATACAAGTTTAACCTCTCCACTTTAATAACCTTCTGCTGGCACATCTCAAGTGACATCATCGCAGATATCAAACGTCAAACCTTTTGGGTCATTTCGACACTTGACGACAACGCCCAATGGCAGGACTTGGTGGATCCTTTGGCCTGCCACGCCCCTTCAACCTCCTCCGCCCTGCGCCTCCGCAGCCGTCCTGCTTATTTACAACTTGACATTTCACTTGCGAGTCGCGGGGCACTTTAATGCGCTCCAATTGCATTTTATGACAGACAAAACTGACCTACTTAAGGCTCTCTCCTACGCACACACAGCTGCCACGCCCATTTCGTCCTCGCTGGGCTTACTCTCCCCCAATCGCATTATAAATTTAATGGGTTTGACCTTTTTTCGCTCGATGCTCGACCGCAATTTCAATAGATTGGCAAACTGAAATCTGAGACCAGCGAGAACGGACATAAAATTTAACTAAAATGTCCTTAAGTAGCTCAAGTGTTTAAAGGGGGTTCGAAATGGACGGGTGGGTTTGCTAAGTGAAGGATCCACAAGTGGGAGAAGTAAATTTGAAACTTTTCCCTGGCTTAAGGATGCGCTTTAAATGGCTGGCAACTCTTTTTATCTCGCTTTTGTTCGCCGGCCAGGGTTGTCGCGTTTCACGCTCGATGCTCAGAGGCCATGGCCACGCCCCTTCCCATGCCGCCTCCGCCATTGTCAATATCCTGGCAGCCATTTCCTGCTTTGTTTTGCTGCAAAGGTCGAACACTTTTTGCCGCCACTGTTGTCCAGTCATGGGTAAAAATTTTTGTGACTGAAAGTCTCAAGTAACTTGGCCAAAGAGTTTTTTCCCCAGCCGCCCACTCCTGGCATTGAATGGGGCGTCTTCAGCTGGAAGCAAAAACATTGAAAATTGTTTTCCCTTTTTGTTCTCTTTGCCACTTTTCCCTCGACGCAGAACCTGTGGCAGCCTGTGTTTGCTTTTATTTTTGCTGAATTCTCCTCGGCTGTCATCTTTCTTTGGGATGCACTGCACTTCAGGAGCTTTTTGTGCTCGCCAAATGTTATTTCAATGCCTGGTCCCCTGTTTTTTTTTTGCTTTTTGCGTCTATCTGTGGGATTGTATTGAAATAAAAGTCCCGAGATGCGCTTGAATGATTTTTGGTTCGTGCAAATATTTTATTGACTATTATCCTGCCTGCTCTTGAGTTCCATTCGGCCGGCCTTGTCCTTATTGTTCTGTGTGCGAATCCTTCAGGGTCTCCGTCTATTTTCCTCTCAAGGGTTTATTTTCGCTCGCTTTTTTTCTGATACAAATATTTTTGTTGCGCAATTTCGCACTGCCAGATAAATATGAAGAGCGGCGAACGGAGAGAGGAAAAACTCAAAATGGCATTTATTTTCTTAGAGCTGAGTTTGCCTGTGCAAACGGAGCAGGAAACTCAATAGGAAGGGTGCTGGAAATTGCCGAATTATGAGGAAATTTATGGCTGAATTTAAATTATTCGCAAGGCCTGCTTTCAACTTTAAGATGTCGAGGGCTTTAGTGTCTGTCATGCCTCTCGTCTGTTTCCCATATCTCGCTGAATTCAACCAATATGTTTAACCTTTTAAATTAACGAAATTTCCGCTAATTCAAAGCGTTTCAAATGTTTTGCACATGCCTCGTTCCCTTATTCACCCCTCGATTCGCAGGCCCCAATGAATGGCGGCAATTATAACATTTAGCACGCATTTCTGTTCAACACAGCTCATTTATCATCATGACGGCATGTCTATCTTTTTCTATCTGTACACAGTAAAAAGAGAAATATTTATATAAGAGCCATTTTTACAACGAAACTTGGTATGTTTTTAGAAAGCACTATTGGGAAATTTTTATTATGAATTTTTATTTTTATATTGGAATTTATTTATTTACATTTTTTTATTTTTCCTAAAACTATAGCACAATTTCTCTCTCTGCACGAGTATATATAACTTTTTATATAAATGTGTATAGAAATGTGGAGATATTTTTCCAATATTGGCCTCCGTCTCTTTCTATTTTAATTGGCGGCCTCAAACGGCGCGAAACTAATGAAAAAATCATCATCAAAGGACAGAGGGAAAAAAAGGCAAGAATGGATTCAATGAATCGAGGGGTGGGGCTCTGGAAAACATGGCATTTTAAAGTCATTGCTACTAATTTTATGAGACTTTTCTTTTGGCACTTTTCCTTTTTAGCCCGCCTTCCGCCTTTTCTCGCTGCTCGCTTTTGTACTTCCGCTTCCTTTCCCCACCAAATGATTATTGCAAGCCGTAAAAGGAGAATGAAAATGAAACACAAATGGACGCAGCTGAAATGAAACCATCCTTGAAATCTATTGTCTGTCTGCCAGTCCAGACAATTGCAGAATAAACAAACAAGGAAACTGCCGAAAAAACAGCTAAAAGTAAAAACAAAATCGGGGCAACAAATGATGCCAGTGAGGGGATGGAAATCCCGGAGTGGCAGGACCCTTAACATAATTGAAAAACATCAAATCGAAATGAAAATCAAAGAATGTATCTACTAGATAGGCAGCAATGCAACACGGCTGTCTGCGCCTGACATCTTCCCAAAATTTAAATACACTTTTATGCGCCCAAGTAGCATAAAAATCAGCATAAATATTTGTTGTTATTCTCGCCATAATGACGGTGTCGATGGATCCCCCTTCTCGCCGGGGGAACGACGACTGCAAATGAAATGAAAACATGCAAAACAATTAAAAACAAACAACAAAATGACCAATAACAACAACAATGGCCCTGCCAGCTTGTTATTGAAAATCCACGAAGGGGGTTAAGGGGTTGCTGGGTGGGTGGATTTCAAGGGGGCGGTGGCGGAGCGGGGATTAAAGCAACAAGACCATGTCGAACACCTAGCCAAAGGTATACAACCCATCAACATCAACAGCCGCTAACAACAACAATGCACTGCCACAACACAACACAGCACAACACGGCACACAACAACTCCATTTGCTGCGTTGCAATGGTAAAATAAATAAATATTCATGTTGGAAATTTACTTGTAAACATGCAAATTGTAAAGCAGCCGCCGCCAATGAAGGACTTTTGAGAATATCAGGGGTGGATGCGGATGGCGATTGCGATTGCTTTGTTTTCCCAGTTTCAAGTGCAGGTCAAAGTCGGGCTCCGGTCCTAAAATGTGGCAATTTTCGGAGAGAGCTTCAGCAAATGAAACATCGCAGAGTTCAATTAAAATTGTATTGTTTATTTGAAATATTTTTGTTTTGTTCTTTAGGCCATTAGGAATTATTTATTAAATATTTGTTGGGTTTATCCCAGTGCTAAAAGTTATTACTTATTTTTTATTCACTAGTCACAACAATAATAAAATATGATTATATAAAATATTCACAAATGAGATAGATTTTTACTATAATTATAAATTAGTTTAAATATTTAAATTGTTTATGATAGGCATGAGTATGAGTTTTATTTGCAGTAAATTCCATCAAATAAAAATATTTTTAAATACGTCATAATACTTAAAAATAATTAATTAACTTTTCAGTATCCTTTAAATATGCCTATTAAAGTCCGCCAGGACCAACGAAGGCCACCAAAGCTTAAATAAAGAAAGCACACATATTTGGTCATATCTGACTGTATATGCATATTGCACTTTATTTATTCTCCGAAAACGTTAATGCCCGGCACTCTACTTTGCGCTGTATTTTCATGGCCCCCGGGGGCGAAAAGCCCAAAAACCCACACAGACTGAATATGAAACCGGACTCCGCCCGTCGTCCAACTGCTACGTGGACTATAAACAAGGACACGTACGCAATTAATTGCAGAATTATTACAAATTTCATTACATGCTAAAATATGCAAATTGTTTGACGGTGCTTCGCCTGCAGCTCCATCTCTGTCTCTCCCCCTTTTGCCCTCCTTCCCTCTTCCGCCACCATGCAATTAAATGCATTTGCATACATAATAAATAAATAATGCAGATGCAACATTGCAGCATTAACTTTGCCGCTGATGTGCGAAAAATGAAAAGAGAGCGAAATTTTCTTTTAATTATCATTTTAATGTGTTTATGAACATTTAGAATAGTAAGCGAAAATTGCTCCCTAAATTGCAGGGGGTGCATTTCGAGTTGGGTAAAGCGGTTGAGGGTGAGGTGGAGGGGGAGGACAGCTGCATTCGTTTGCACTGAAATGCCATAAAATTGCAACAATTTGCACGCAGCTGTCGCTGTCGAGGGGTGTTCGAGTGGTTCGCATTGAGTTCGGTTCTCCACTATTGTTTCTTCTTCCGCCTCACTGAAAATAATGCGTTTTACCTGAAAAAAAAATTATTTTTATAACAAAAATGTATTAATCCAAAAGTATGTACTTAAAAATATATATTTTTAAAACTATTACTGAGACTAGTTTTTTAAAACCAATCTTTAAAACTGTTTTGTTTTTTATCTATATTAAAATTAATTTTAAATTCAGATTCATTATTTATAAATATTTAATAAAAAACTATATAAATATCACTATTTACCATTTTTAAAATATTGATTTGCAATGAAATGACATACCAGTTATTTTAGCTTGTATTTTTAAAATGTACAAAAAATGCAATGGACTATGAAAATGACTTTTATAGAACTGTTGTGGCAGTGCAAGCGAAAACAGGATTTTTTCAGTGCTCTGTCGCTCACTCAGCTGCAAATTGTTTGCAGCCTGTCTACATAAATGTTGCATGTCTACAAAATATTTGGGTTAAAAACATTTGCACAGAGCCGGAAAAAAGAATATATTTTATTTGCATGATTGCGCAGGACAGGGGAGATGGAAAAGGGGGTTTAGTATGGACATGGGGACATCAAGTACGGGATCTGTTGGATATGGAGTAGTCGGAGTTGGAGTTGGAGAACCCGGGTGTCGAAGGGGTGTGCGCTTGGGATGCCTTTTTATCGGAAACCAAGTAGGTATTGCTCTTTCCAAACCGAATCCTGGTGTCCGAGTCAACCTCTTCTATGTCGGGCACATGGATCCACATAGGACGACGGGTAAAGTCGGTGGACTGCATATCCTTCTCGGCGTACCAATGAACCCGTTCCCCATCATCTCGCTGCACCTGCACCTTGGGCTCTTCCTTCTTCTCAGGCAGTTGCATCTCCCGATTGGCCTTCAGCAGGGTTAGCCGCCGATTGGGTCGGGTTCGCCTGGGGGGCAGTGGTTCCTCTGCTTCTGGCGGAGGTGGCCGAGGAACTGGATGTAGAACTCCCGCGCAATCGGGCGCCCCACGTTCACTTCCCGGGCAAGTGAGTCGCGATCTGTTCTCATCCTGGTTCTCATCCAAACGCCCGAACTCGCAGTACAACTCGTCCAGTTTCCGCTGCAGACAATTGCGAAGATTGTTCTGCCGGCAGAGCGTCTCCTCCAGCTCCCGAATCCGCTTGCCCTGCGTCTTGATGACCTTGGTCAGCTCGCGGCGCACCTGCTGCTCGCACTCGCAGCCGCAGGGCGGTTGGGTGAAGTACTCCTGGTGCGTCTCGGGGCAGCACTCCGGCTGGCAGCAGGGCTCCTCCTTGGGCGGCCCCGAGGGCTTCGAGCACTGCTCACACTGGCAGGGACACTCGTCCGTGGGATGGGGACCGCGGCCCAGGAGAAGGACATCCGTGCAGCCGGGCAGGCAGCTGTCGCGGCGTCTCCTACATCCAGAAATTAGAGTGGATATATTAGATATATAAGCTATACCCACCTGACACTCGGGTCCTGCTCCTGTTCCGCCTCCTCCTGCAGCTGCTGCAGTTGCTCCTCCTCCTGCATGGGGGTGCGGAGTACAGTGACCTCGGTGCCATCGATGTCGGGAAAGGTGCCGCCGGTGTCCTTGAACTCCGACTCCTGCACAAAGATCTCCGTGTCCGAGTCGGTGTTATTCAGCCGCTTGGTTATCCTCAGCTCGGAGTCGCCTTCCTCAGAGGGCAGAGGTCGCAGGTTCACGCACGACTGTCCCTTGCCGCAATACGTGGGCAGCGAGGCTCCGTTGAGGAGGAGGACATTGACCGAGGCTCGTTCCGGACCCGGCTCCCCGTCATCGGGACACTGACAGCCGGCGGCCTCCTCCTCCCTTTCGGCCCGGAGCTGCTCTTTTTCTCGCTCGATATTTCGCAGCCTCTTGCCGATCTTCTTGGCCCGCTTCACAAAGTCGGGAATGTGCTCCACGCAGACGCAACACTGGTTCTGGATGCTCTCCACGCAGCAGTTCTGGGCCGCCATGCTGGCCTGCCAGATCCTGGCCTCCTCCTCCGTTTTGGGATACGCATACGGCTCGTTGCCCTTCGCATCCTTCGCCGGCGGCTCCTCGCCACAGATCACACATTTTCTCCCAGACATGTGAGGGTGTTTCTTCATTTTCTAACAATTGCGGAATTTAAAGATTTGTGTGTAAAAGGGGATTTTTGTTTTTGTGAATGGCTGATGCACAAAGGTTAGGAATTTAAGAAAGGTCTGAATTTATTTTTTTAGTGTAAAATTCTATTTTTTTGTTGGAAAAATAAGTAAGGATTTCTGATGCAAATTTCATGAATTTGTAGAAGGAGAAATAGTTGAATTGAAAGGAGAGATAATTATTTTGTTTATACAGTTAATATTATTTATTTTTTGTTATACGAAGAAAAAAGAATAAACAAAAACGTCATTCCTAATTTTCCTGAACCTAAAACTTTAGCTGAAAATTTAAAACTTCTATATAAACTAAAATTAGACTTTTAAGTATTGCTAGCAAATTAAATAAATTTTTATAAAATAATAAATGCATTTTTTTAGTTTTTAGTTTTTAGTTGAATTGAATTTTTTTAAGGAATTTCTGTGAGGCAACAATATACATATTTGTAGAAGGAGAAATAGTTGAATTGAAATGAGTATTTTTTATTGATCCACCTTTTTTTTTGTATCTCTACAGAGATAGCGAAATAGATCGCGTTGCAATCCATTTTGCTTGCGTAATTGCTTTTCCTTTGTTTTTTTGTGCTGGCATTTTTCGCTTTGAATGCTTTTGAGCAACTATAACAACGCACCTTGCGGTTTTTGCGGCAAGTGAATTGGGCTGTGAAAGCCGAATGCGTTGCATGCGGATTGGATTGGAGTGCAGTGGAAGTGGTGGTGGTGGAGTGAGGGGGCTGGCTCACCTGGCGGCTGTTATGAGGTGGGAATGATTTCGAAACCGCTGTGGGGCAGACCCACTACCGGCTGCATTTCACGGCTGGTCTCTGGGGCCCCAGAAAAAAGAGAGAGAACGCGATCCGGTATGCCCCACAAAGTGGAGCAACTATGCTGCAAACGCATTAAAATCAATTGATTGCGGTGAAAAATGTATAAGATATGTGAAAAATCCGGATCAGTAATTACAAAGAAATGTGTAAATTAAATTGTTTAAAGTTGCCCCTGCGAACGCGCGACATAAATTGGACAGTTTTTCTATAAGCATTTAAGTATTATAAGATCTCAATTCTGTTCTCGCTCTCTCTATATTTTTTACTGCTCCCAGATAAGAACTGTGCTCACAGCTATGAATACATTTGGGCGAACGTATTTCAACATCCTCGATAGTATAGTGGTTAGTATCCCCGCCTGTCACGCGGGAGACCGGGGTTCAATTCCCCGTCGGGGAGAGATGTAAAAGTTTTTATACCCGTTACTCTAAGGGAAAAAGGGAAAATAAGATTCGGAAAAAAAAATAAAAAAAAAAAAAAAAAGATCCACCCAAAAAAAAAAATATATATTTTATAAAAAGAACAAAACCCAAAACCAACTACCCCTCTCCCCCTCTCCCTCTCCCTCTCCCTCTTTTTTTTTTTTTTTTTTTTTTTTTTTTTTTCTTTTTTTTTGGAAGAACGCAGACAAAAAAAAAAAAAAAAAAAAAAAAAAAAAAAAAATTAAAAAAAAAAAAAAAAAAACCCACCCAAAAAAAATTTTTTTTAAAAAGGACCCCCCCCCCCCCCCCCCCCAAAAAAAAAAAAAAAAAAAAAAAAAAAAAAAATAAAATTAAAAAAAAAAAAAAAAAATTTTTTTTTTTTAAAAAAAAAAAAAAAAAAAAAAAAAAAAATTTAAAAAAAAAAAAAATTAAAAAAAAAAAAAAAAAAAAAAATTTTTTCTCTCCCCCCCCCCCTTTTGGTAAAAAAGGGGTTTTTTAAGGGGGTTTTATTTTATTTTATTTTATTTTTTTTTTTTTAATTACAAATTAGATTCTTAAAAATTTCTAAAAACGAAAAAAACTAAACGTATTTATAGCCAGTCTGCATAAATAAAAGAAAATATTTGGTTAGTTTAAACAGGTCTTTGATACATTTTTTATTATTTACCTCTAGTTTTATAAAACGTGCAACAAAAATCCGTGCTTATAGCCATAAAATTCCCTCAGGCAAACATCGTTGAAAAAAGCCAGAAAGTCGCGCCAACGCCCACTAAATAATAGAGGGAAAAAAGTGCGTTCGATTCAGTCAAGCCCAGAAATCTGCGCAAAACCGCAAAACAATAGCCATGGAGAGGGGGAAAATCTATGTCAACCACCTACCAACGGCCAGTGGACCACAAAAATCACGTTATTTCAATTTGAATGCCAAACAATCGCCGAGCACTATCAGAAATGGGTCTATCTCTGGCCTAGTTTGGCATTCTTCAAATGCCTTTTTGTGGGTTAACGCCCACGGGCAGAAATTTGAATAATCTGCTGCCGTAATATCGCCAATTTATCACTGCACTGGCCATTGGACCCAATCCCAAAAGCCAGAAAACCCGGAGTTCCGTTCGCCAGCCCACCAGCTGGCCGCATAAAGCGAAAGCAAATGTGGGCAGCTCACATTTCACTTTCGTTTCGAATTCGGACTCGGATTCACACTCGGAAGGGAAGGAAATCGCTGGGGAGCCCACAGCTCTACGCCTCTGCTCTATCGCATTTTCCAATTTATCAATGGCCACACGGAGGCGCTGTTAATGAAGAATTATGTTCATAATTTCCAAATTTATTGTCGCACATCTTCGGTTCGGTTCGGTTTGGTTCGGATCGTCGGTGATCAGACCGCTGATGATGGGGGCTGTCCGACACTTAAGTGTGTCAAAATGTTGTTGCTGCCATGTGGCATGCTGGCTCTTCCGAAGATCCCCCGATGGAACCATCATCGTGTCAGTTACGGAGACACATTTCAAATATTTATGATGCGTCTAGCCGAACACACAATCCAAACACTCCAATCCGTGGCACTTCAGGGCCCTTCGATAACTCCATGTTCACGGTTCACAGTTCAAAAAGTCATTTCAAGTTTCTTGTTACAGTTTCCAGTGAAAGTTTTCCTGTTTTCCCCTTTTTTTCCGACTGGGTTTTCTCGCCTATTAATTGTCACTTAGTCAGGGTTCTTGGGAAAGTATTCAATTTCCACTCAATCCTTTATTAAACCGAAACAGATGCCAAAACATTTTCATTTTGCCATTGGCAGCAGTTTTTAAGTGGATTTAATTTGTTTCACAGATTCCCCCCGCTTCTGTTTCGTTTTTTTTGTTGCCCCACTATTTTTAGGCTCTCGACTTTTTTTCGCTGGCTTTCTATCTAATTTAGTGTTCAGCTCGAATGATTTTTCGGGGCTGGGTCTAGTATATAGATTTAAGTGCTCATGAGAGAGCGGAAAATTTATGTGACAGCTTATTAAATTTATATGTTTGCTCTTCATTACAGATTATACCGGCAGAACGTCAGTGGGGCAGAGAGTGATTGGATACACATGTGTTAGCGGGTAAGTGCTCGGATGAATGGCCCTCGAGTCGATGCGATATGTTGGATTAAAGAGCTTTAAAGCGGGGGCTTAGGTTAAGTCGGCATGATCTGGCACATGTGTCAGCCGATTGGTGCTTATTATACCCGTTACTCGTAGAGTAAAGGGAAAAAAAAATTTTAAAAAAAAAAATAAAAAAAAGAAGGAAAAGCTTCCCCCCCCAAAAAATATATTTTTTTTTTAAAGGACAAAACAACACAAAATTAAAAAAACCCCCTTTTCCCCTCTTCCCCTCTTCTTTCCTTTTTTCTTTTTTTTTTTTTTTTTTAACTCTAAAAACCAAAAAAACAAAAAAAAAAAAAAAAAAAAAAAAAACAAATATCTTTTTTTTTCTTTCCCCCCCAAAAAAATATTAATTTAACCCCCCCCCCCCCCCCCCCCCCAACCCCCCCCAACACCAAAAAAAAAATTTAAAACACCCCCCCCAACCCCAAATTTTAAAATAAAAAAAAAATTAAAAATAATTTTTTTTATTTTTTTATAAAAAAAAAAAAAAAAAAAAAAAAAAAAAAAAAAAAAAAAAAAAAAAAAAAAAAATTTAAAAATTTAAAAATAACTAAATACCCCTCTTCCCCCCACCAAATTTATTAATAATATAAAAACCAAAAAACCCCCCCACAACCCCCCACACCCTTTTAAAAAAATTTAAGAATAAAAAAAAAAAAAAAAAAAAAAAAAATTTTGATCTATTTTCGAGAGATTTTAAAGCTCAGAGGTACGAGAAGATCTAGCAATGTTGGGAAATATTTAAAAAATATATTTTCCATGATTTAATAAATATATTAATATATTAAATATAATAAAATATATTATTGTTTAATAAATATTATGTTCATTTTCTTCTTTGGAGATGTATATTATTTTTTTAAGTTTAGTGCTCGCTAAAAGCTCCAAATAAATATTTTTAAGTACTGTAAAATACCCCAAGCAATTAAGACATAATGCCCGTGTTAGTGGCCCATCTTCTTTGTGTACAAGTGCTTTAAAACCGTCTCATAAGTACCACTAAATGTGCCTTGCCTGGAAAACAGACCCAACGCTAACCCCATTCAATCCGTACTTAAATCAAGTAAACCTCCACCCACCTGTCAACCGGGCCGTTGGCACCTTCAGCACACGAGATAACTCAACTTGGTTTAGCTCGGCTCAACTTGGTGCAATCGCTTTATGCCAGCCAAACTGGCAGTCCAAAACTGCAGCAGACTTGATGTGAAAATTCACACTCTCCTCGCCGCACACAAAAAATGTCGAGCCGCGTCCGTCCCCAAAAATCGTCGGTGCTCTGGCACTTCATTAAATAGACGCCGTGGCGGCGCTTTTCCCCGCAAACAGAAAAAAGCGAAGAAAAATCCAAATGGAAAAAATTCGTGGATGTCGCTGGCGCTGACGACCGACCACACCCCCCACATTACTTGAATGCGGGGCTCAGCTCGGGAAACTTGCTTATTTTCACACATGCGCGGCAACAAAAAAACGAGAGGCACACATTTAAGCAACAAATTCGTGGACTTTTTTTTGCCTCGCTCACATTGTTTATAATGACAATTCGCCGTTGTTGTTGTCGTCGACATGTGGCCATAAAGTTGTCGGTAAATAACAAACAGGCCTTTCCTCTCGTCCAACTTTTTCCTTTAAAAATACCGAAACAGCCGCCGTCAACTTTTGGAGTATCCTTTGTCGTCTGTTGAGAGGATTCCATCGCTGGAAATCCCGGGGCTAAAAGCCACTCAGTCTAAGAAGTATCCCATGGATTGCAAACAGAAAATATCAGCACAGGCCTTCAAATTTAAACCAAGTAAAAAGGAACTTTTTTTTAGGAACTTTTTGTAAAATATTTCTGAGTCTGAGATTTCCATAATAATAGCTTTATTTTAATTTAAATATTCATAAAAGCACATCTAAAGATAATTGCACTTTTGCAAATTTAAGTTATAATGGATCTTCATCAAACAACACCCGTAAATAATCTAAATTTTGAGTTTACCTACCAAAATAATTATTTATTCGTTGTTTTGGCTGAGATCACCTTTGCCGTAATTCAAAAACCTGCACTTGACTAAGTGAATGAATTATGGCGCCGACCTTGAGGCGCTCGATTTCATGTGGAAATAATTCCATAATTTGCCATGCTGATTACTTCCAACCGAAAGCTGACAACGCAATTTGTTTTTCGGAAATTCTTAACGTGTAATTGTCGTGTTGTCAGGCAAACAATGGACCCACAAAAAGGCAGCCCGAAAAGCGCGCTCAGAGAAAAATAAACAAATCCGCGAACCGACTTGGGGCCCCACCCAAAAGTCGTCTATTGTTTGACTTTTTTCCAACGGCTTCGGTCGCATAAATAACCAGAAATTAGCAGGCAAATAAGTCAAGTCGCATGTAAACTCGTTTTGGCATTGAAACACCTGCAAGGCGATTCTTGGCATATTCCGAGTGCTAAATCACCTGCCCGCCAGGCTGGAGGTAAAAGTTGAACTGGCTAATTTAAATTTATATACTGGAGATCTAAGCCGAGATGCGGCCCCCTGATTTATGCCCACCCGATTGTCACAGGCGATAGGGGAAATGATATACTATGCTATACTGTTTATGTGCTTATAGGAAATACGCATCGATGGAAATTGTATGCAAATGCGATTCGCAGATAAAGATTTGGATCTGGCTGGCATTGATGTAAGCAGAAGCCCTCAAGAGGTGTAGCAGCTCTTGTTGAACGGATTTGTCATTGGTTCTCTATCTGTTTTATTTCCCTTTATCCGATTGAAGGTGAAACGATGATGACGTATTGTCAGGGCTCCAATTTGGATTAGCTCGTAAGCTTACTGGAGCTGAACTTGCCTCGATATTGAACTCGGTTCGGTTTGCCTGGTTCGTCGCGGCTGAATCAATCAGCCGAGATCCGAGGTAATTGGAGCTACAAAGCAGCAGGGGATACACAGAGCGGCAGGCACGTCTAAATCACTCATAAAAAAGAAATTCATCTTCATAAAAACGAAAAATGAAGGAAAAAAAAGGGAAAACAAAAACAGACACCGACACAGAGACAGGGTTATAAAAACCGGCAGCTCGTTCCCCACAAAAGTATCCAGCTGCGAGAGATAGTTTACTTGCGGTAATCACGCCAAAAAAAAAAAACCAATGCCCCCTTCCCACTCCGCATCATAAACACTTGAAAAACTGTTGGAAATTTTTGATGTACCACTTACAAGTGGATCGGGCTTGAAAGGTTTTCTTTTCATCTCCTTCCACCATTTCGTCCGAAAATTACATTTAATGTGTGTCTGAGATTTCGATAGAGGCGTGAACCTGTTGAGATACTTTCAAAAGTATCTTGTGGATGCCGGCATCCATTCTCGGCTCCATCGGCTCATCCTCAGCGGATAAAAACGGAGGAAAACACAACAGAACCGAAGAGAGAATCATCATTTGTTAGAACCTGTCGATTTGGATTCAGTTGGCAGCTCATCGACCCTAATCGCATTTGAAAGTTATCGCATCTGCGAGCCACGAAAGCTATGGCTCTGTTAATTGTCAGAGAGTTTGGCCTTTCTGCTGCCTTTTTTCTTTCTGCCTCGGCTTTCTTTTGGCTAAAGTTGGCTAATTGCCATATTAACCTTTTGGCCCCCTGCGATGATGATGATGACGATGATAACCAAAGTCCGGCTGCGTGCTCGAGTTGTAACTGCGCCTCTGACTCTGACTTGGCTTATTTGCAAGTTGGATTTGATGACGGGCCCTGGACCAGTGAAAGTAATTAGTGGCTCACTGCTTGTTGGCAAACCGGCCTTAGGGTGAAAGCTGAGCTTTTAATTGCGCAGCTGTCGCCGCAGAAGCCGCATAATCAATCAGCTGGTTGTGTAATTGGGGTCTGGCAGGCCCAAAAGCGAAAGTGATCGGTTAGAAAATTCTGGTCGAGTGAGAGGGGTCAGAGATCGGGTGGGATTGAAGGTTAAGTGGCATTCAAATTATCTTTACATGGTTCTATTGTAAATTAAAATAAATATATATTTAATAAGTGAGTTATTATTTAAAAATACATTTCCCAAAAGGTTCGCAGACTTTAAAGTTAAATAATTTAATAACACCCCAACCGAAAAAAGGGAAACACACAATGAATAAAATATCCCTCGGCAATAATTATATCTTCCGCGATCAACCCAATGCGGCCATAATTTCACCCGGAATCGTCATATGAATTCGAATTCTCCCAAAGAACAAAGCTCTCACGCTCCCTACCTTCAACGCAACGATCTCCCCCACTTGGTTCCCATCCTGGCACTAAATCAACCCCCAGTGCACGGCATTCCAAAGTGTTTTCGAAAAACTGTGCCAAAGATCTCTTACTGCGATCTCTCGCCTTCCTCCTGCCCTCTCCCATGTCGATTATATCGAGAAGTGACCCCATACCAACACACACACTCGCGGATATAACCGATCTGGATCGGAGATCAGCAGCCAGGGAAAACAAAACCAAGTCAAGAAATGAACATCAAGCCGAGATGATTGTCATAATTAAGGATGTTGGATGTTGAATGTTGGCATCTGCCAGACGCATGAAGAACGGTGCAGCGGAGGGAGATTCTTCTGCAGCACTCGAGGCACTTGTAAAACCAACAGATAACCGTAAGAACGAGTTATTCTTTTCTTCAGTTTTTGCTGCCTGACTGCTCTGCTTTTGATTCACAAAAGACTGGCGCACAGAAGACGAAGCTTCCGGTGAAGTTCAGGTTTCTTCTCCTCATGTGTGCAACCCTCTTCGGCCGATTCTTCTGGCTCGTTTGGTTCAAGATCAGCCGCCACATCTCATAATTGCAGCTAAGCAAAATTATATAGCCCAAGTCAAGTCGAGATCCAGATCAGCAGGGAGAGAAAAGAGCAGCATGTGTATGAGGAGAGGGGTGGGCCACATGAGGGTCTCAGCTTGTCTGTGCAAATATTTCCAGGCGATCGGTCTTCGGACT